TCTCTCTCTCTCTCTCTCTCTCTCTCTCTCTCTCCCACGAGCGTGTTACTCACAGATCACAGCCGCTTCATTTTTTTCTTATTTCGTTTTTCCGCGCATCGGTCACCAACGCACTGCACCCGGCGCACCACGCACTTACACCGCAGGTATGATTTATTCCCATTTTGCACATTGGAAACGCACAGCCTCACACAGCACACCCACACACCCACACACACACACAGTCTGAGACACTCCAGACAGAGCACCGGGTGACTCTCTCTCTCTCTCTCTCTCTCTCTCTCTCTCTCTCTCTCTCTCTCTCTCTCTCTCTCTCTCTCTCTCTCCCCCTACCTAGCTATCTATCTATCTCCTGCTCCTACGATTTCATTTCTTTGTTTTCCTTATTTCGTTCAGTTTTTAGAAGTACAATCTCTCGTTATTATAATATTATTACTATTTTTTTGGCTTTTTTTCAGTTTTTTATTATTTCTGTTGGTTTTCAAAACTAATGACCCGCTACCGGTAGCTCTAGGCTCGACAAGTTTCGGCATACCGATAGCGAAAGGCTCGGACTCGTTGGCTGAAAAAGGTATTGGTGGTTTAAATGGACTCTTTAAACCCCACCAATATGTTGCCCATCCAGTTTCTCACACTTGCAGCTTGCATGCCGCAGCTTTTGGGCTCAGCCACCAATGCAAAACGGCTGGCGGTGCCAGCCAAAAGTCCGTGCCGATTCATTTTTCCTTCCTCGGTGCATCACGTTTCCTGCCCCAGAGAAAAGTGGGTCGGTTGTACTGGGGCTGTTCTTTTCTTGGTGCACATTGCACGGCGCGTTTCCTGCCCCGGAGAAAAGTGCCTTAGTAGATTGATCAACTATTTTGCTTGGACACTTTGACCAAGTGCTTGGCAATTGCTTGGCACTCTTGAACCCTCAACATCTTCGACCGAGTGCCTGGCACTTTTGGGCCCTCCTTGACCATCTTCCAACCAAGTGCTGGCACTCTTGGACCCCCCTGGCACTCTTGGACCCCTCTGACAAAGTGCTGGCACTTTTTAGCCCTCTTTCACCAAGTGCTTGCACTCAGTAGACCCTCTGTGACCAGTGCCATCACTCTTTGACCTTTTTTCTAACTGAGTTGACTGGGTGCTGATGTTCTTTGACCAAGTGCTGGCACTCTTTAACCTCTTTCGACCAACGCCAGCAGTCTTTGACCTCTTTGACCATTTTTGATCAGGTGGTGGCACTCATTGACCCAGTATTGGGGTCCTTGGAGCATCCACATGGTACATGTGGCCTCTTTGACCATAAGACCCTTCAACCACGTACTGGCAATCTTTGACCCACTTTGACCAAGTGCTGGGACTAAGTGCTGGGACTAAGTGCTGGGACTCTTTGACCCAGTTTGACCAAGTGCTGGCTCTCTTGGACAAACTACTGGGATTCTTCTAACACGCACATTTTTCCTGAGGACTCGTTGACCAACTGCTTTGCTTGGACTACTTGAGCAAGTGCTTTGGTTGGATGATTTGACCTATCGCTTCACTCTGAACAAGCTCATTCACAATTGTGAGTATGACTCGTTCAAGGGGGACACCGACATAACGTCCGTTGTGTTCCATTTGCCTCGACATCTCTGTAGATATCAAAAACACCCTTTTCTCATGATGACCCATTTTTTCAACACAGATTCCTTATCGCATGCAAAACTGAAATACGGAAAAAAGCGCCAGATATGGCAGCAGTTTCAAGACAAGCAAGAAGCTTCATGTGCCGGAAAAATCTGAAGTAGTGACACAACGTCTCATTATCGTGAAATTGGTCGAGTTAGCCGCTCTTCAATTTGCCGGACAGCTGCAAGGGACAAAACCAATGTGTCGTGCTGGAGGATGCTATAAACATTTAAACCCTGCACACACAGCACATGCAGGACATGCAGAACAAACACACACACATACAGACACACACAAAATCAGTTTTCCATATGTCTTTTCTTCATGTTTTTGCCTGTCTGTTTTCCTCGATTTTTCCTAAGTACTTTCTATGTGCTTGGGTGAGTACCTTCAAGAAGTGCTAAACAGTCTGCGTTGGGTTGTTTGGAGTGCCTGTAACACTATTATTGGGTGGTCCCTGATGTCTTTGTGGTGCATATGGACTGTGAGTGATAATTGTCGTCTATTTGAGCGACTCCCTGGCTCAGCAGGTGGTGGGAACCAACGGTCTGCAGGGTTCTCTCATGCTGTGAGTAGGCGTTGTGCTGCTTTGCTCTGTGTTGGACACATAAAGTGCCTTGTCTGTTGCTTCGCGTTGGATGTGTAGACTGCCTTCTCTGCAATCTGCTCCTGCTTTGCTTCCCAGCCCCCACTTGCTTCCAATGTTGTTCTTCGCAGCTGCTGTGTTCACTGTGTGCTGTGGCTGCATTGTTAGTGTTGCCTTGTGCTTTGCTGCGCTGCTGCCTTGGCACTCATCCGCATGCCTTGCCTTCTGTGTTCTTTGCATGTGTCCCGTGTAGTTTGGCTGCTTTGTTGGTTGCCCCATACTTTGCTGCGCTGTTGCCGTGCTGTTTGCGTTGTTCTTCATGCACTTAGTTTTGGTGTTCTTCGTTTGGGTTGCATCGGTGAGTGAGTTGGTGGGTGCGGTGGGTTGGTGGGTGGGGTGGGTTGGTGGGTGGGTTGGTGGGTGGGTGGTTGGATGGGTGAGATGGTGCGTGAGTGGGTCGGGCAGTGGGTGTGGGCTTGGTTGCTTGGTGTAGTTGGTTTCGGTCGGACTCAGATCGACTAGCATTAAATTGCATTGAATTGAATTGAATTGGATTTCAAACTGAGGCCATCCTCATGCTAGCGCTTTCCAAAGAAACCAACAAACAAAACATTGTTTTGAACAGGAAGAAAGCAGGAGCCAAGCCGTCTCGTCTACGCAACTACAGCTGAACCTTGCCCCTGTAGCACTGTCTTTAACCAAAAGCAGTCAACACAACAGTATTCCACACCACAGGCTACACAAACGAAAGCAGAGACCATCTTCCTACACGCATCTGACTTCAACTACGACCAAACCTAAATGCATCTGACTGCAATCACGTCCCGAGCGTGGTCAAAAAAGTTATAGTGCACGTATGCCCTGAATCACATAGAAGTGAATTCATTTGATGCTTGATGAATTGAACTGAAAGGAGTCGAATGCAGTGGAGTGGAAAGGAGATTAATGGCGTTGATTGATTGCTTCATCCGGTTGTTTGTGCACTTGGTTGGCCAGTTAGCGCCACCACTGCTCTCCATTTTCAGTCTCTCGCAAAGAAAAGAGTAAACAGCACTTGTCTTTTCAAAAAGCAGTTCCTTGCAACGCAGCTCTGTGAATGCCCAGAATCTTTTTGGACAAACCTTCGACAGCGTTACACCGCCTTTTCTCTGACGATGACTTTTTTTTCTCTGTCATCGACTTTCACTCTGTCATTCAAATGCTCTGTGTCCCTGGCCATCAACTCAGATGTGTTCAATCAGTTCATCTGACTTGGCGCCACTCAAACAAAGTCGCGTGCACAGCTACCATCCTCCTCCAAACACAATGCATCATAACATCCTTTCATCGTTACAGCTATGAGTTTATTGCCGCATTATATAGGCAGGGCGGCTCCAGTCCGTACCTGATGTGGAAGCACGTTGACGTAATGTAAATTGCTAGAAGCTCGTTGTAAAGTTTCATTAACTTGATCTGTACCATCGACAAAGAGAACTTTCCGGATATCACCCATATCCGCAATCAATCGTTCCAGCTCAGCCGTCTTCGTTGAAGGAGGTTCCACGCTGTCAAGTACCAAGAGCTGTTAAACAACAACAACAAAAAATGCAATCACCCCACAGAAACAATTCAACACACACACACACACACACACACACACACACACACACACACACACACACACACACACACAGCTGTCAAGTCCAGGTAGAGCGTTAGACTAGGGCCGGGCTGTTGTTGTTGTGAAGTTATTAATTTGGGGCAACACACTAGGAACGTATCTAGAGTTATAAGGCAGCGTAAAAAAAGAAAAGAAAAGAAAAAAGAAAGAGAGTTATAAGAGTTCGGAACCCTGACAGGTCAACAGTGTGTTTGATCTTCTCAGAATTAATAAATATTAAATAGATATCAGAGGTTTGTGGTTCAGTGGCTAAGGCCCGACATTCAGCAACTTCATTGGGCCCAGATGGTCCCATCTGGCGAGATCAGCCACACACAGGTCTGGACCAGATGGGCTGGAGTCCAACATTGGACCATCCAGTGCTATCTATGCCAAATGAGCCCACAGAGGACCATCCTTTGGGGGCTATCTATGCCAAATGAGCCCACAGGGGACCATCCTTTGGGTCCCAAAGGATGGTCCCGAAGGATGGCCCCTTTGGGACCATCCGGGGCCCCAATGACTGGTGGGAGCATCTGGTCCCAGCTGGGCACCAGCCCATCTGCACAAAGGTCTGGGCCAGATGGTCCCAGATGGTCCCACACAGGTCCAACACAATTTGTGGGCCAAAGGAAGCTGGGACCATCTAGCGTCACCAGGTCCCCAGACCATACACACACAGGTCGGGGCCACATGGTCGCCGACGATTCCACACCAATTCTGGGCCGAATTAATGGTGGGACTATCTGGTCACAACAGGCCACCAGACCATCCACACACAGATCCAAAAGGATCCAAGCAGGTCTGTTCATGAACAGCCGACTGTTTTCCGGAGTCTGACCCAGACTGGGGGTGCAGTGGGACTTTCCGGGCCCATCTGGATCAGGCTCCAGAAAACACTGGGTACACACAAGGTAACTGTTGGCAAACAGGTTACGAGTTCATAATCTGATGGAATTCAGCCCCGCATCCAGCTCAGCACAGTGCGACGATTCTGGGCCGATCTGGTCAGAAATGCAGCCCGGCATTCCGACCAGGTACATAAGTTGACATTCCAGTTTATTGGATTCTAAATGTATAATTTATAACAGTTCTGCAATTTTCAAGATAATGGAATGAATACGTGGCCCGCGTTGGTGAATGATACACACAACTGTAACTGTTGGTGGTAAACAGGTTCTGAGCTCAAGCTCCGATGGAATTCGACGCACCCAGTATCGTTAGGGTTACCCCCTTACAGAATTCAAAATGGAGTGAATGGTACAGGTTCTGAGTTCAAACTCCGATGAAGTCAGATCAATCAAATAATATTAGGAGCTATCCCCTCTAAATGAGTCTAAAATGAAAAAAAAAAAAAAAAAAAAACTCGGTGGATTGGATTCCACAGTTCAGTCATCTTATCGAGGTGCAGGCAGTGAAAGAGATGTCAGTCTACAAATGCAATTTAAATGGAGGAGAAGAGCAGCAGAAGATTATGGCTGCATATTACACACATTCGACTGTTAAATCACCTCAACGTCTGACGCAGTTTTTTTACGAGCCTTCCTAAACGCTGCAAAAAGAAACAAGCGCGGGTGTGTTTTTTCTTCTTTCTGGCTGGCTGCACCATCCATTCTGATCCTGTAGCCCCCAAAAAACACTGACACTTCCGGACGTATATGTTTCTCGCTCACTCGAATTTGCCTGAGGCACGTAGTGGTGGGGTTTAAAGAACAGATCATTGATTCAAATTCTGAGGGACCAATAATGCTAGGCGCTTCCCCCTTCAAGAAGAAGGGGAAAAACAAAAAATGAGCAAGCAGGGGACCAATAATGCTAGGCGCTTCCCCCTTCAAGAAGAAGGGGAAAAACAAAAAATGAGCAAGCAGGGGACGGTGAGACTCCGAGCACTTTTTCTGCCACACACTCACGCACGAAAGGTGGCTCTCAAAGTCAGATCCTCACTGATTTGTGCCGATGAGAAGCCATTCGCTGTTTCTTTTCGTAGACAGAAACCAGTGAGGACATGAATTTGAGAGCTACCTCTTGTCCAGCCTAGCTCACATTCAGTCTCCACTTTTTTTCCCTGGAAGGAAGCTCTGCGAACGAGATGACGTTGATGGTCAAACTAATCGTAAATGAAAATGAAATAACAAATTCGCAGAAAAGTAAGAAATGCATATCAGCATCTGGATCTGCATCTGCAAAAAAAAGACCCACCAGCAAAGGACTCAAAGGAGTGAATGTGATCTACAACAAAACAACAAAAATGATGTAACTGTATGAAAATTATAAGTACAATCTCTTTCCAAACTAATGTGCAGAAAACTCATCAGTGCAACATACCTTTCCTTCTGCCAACCGCGCCGACAGAGCTACCTTGAGACCTAGTCTGCGCACTTTTTTTTGCAGACTGATTTCATGGCTTCTTGGCTTGGGTCCATGAGCCACGGCACCGCCACGAAACTGCAGATCCGGATCAGTGCAATTAATAGCCATGTCAGTAAAAACAGAAGAGATGAGAGCACTTCATCACTTCACAAACTGCAGCAGTTCCAGATCAGAGAATCAATGTGAAAATCATTAAGCAATTTGATCACAATCCTTGTCACCACACTTTCCACACGAAACAACAACAACAGGATATTGCCCTCCCTAATAATCTCAGGGAGAACAAGAGACGCCAACTGGAGGTGACTTGGGTGAGAGAAGCAAGTGATTGTTTGTCATACTACGATCGATTGCAGTTGCTGTCCCAAACTCATCTCTCTCTCTCTCTCTCTCTCTCTCTCTCTCTCTCTCTCTCTCTCTCTCTCTCTCTCTCTCTCTCT